CCTGGACAAGCGTTTTTTTCTTGGAGACAGGTTCCGTTGCATCGGAATGCAAAGTGTACTTTGATGCGCTGTATGCGAGCTGTAGAGCACTGCAACATGTGGTGTCTTGTTTCGCAGGAGTGGGTCACTCAGTAGTCATGTCCGACGAAAAGGAAGCGTCAGGAGAACGCACCACGCTCCCTCCAGAATACGATAGCGCCTATCTTCAAAATGGAGATGCAGCTCCTACAGAAACACTTACGGTCTTCTTTGACGATGTTGACCAGAATTTGACCAGAGGGTCGTCCCGTAATAGGAAGACTGAAGCAACTCGGCAGTTGAACAAACCAATCACCAAGGCTACAGCGGGAGTACTGCCCCGACACACTTTTCGCCAGGAATACGTCGTTTACGATGCATCACAGGTGAGGCTTTTAAGATACCATTTGTACTGATTTAGTCTGGATTTGCTATCGGATGGATATGTCTGTTTTGCATCTGCTTGCTGAAGGTGAATGAGACGCCGGCTGCTTTAGTACCTCGAAATGCGTCTTGCGCGCTGGACTGTGCGATTTCATAGGTAGTGCCGAACTATTTGGTGCTCTTTGAAGTGAATCCTATGGAGCCTGAGCTATTCGCGGTACCGCTCTGCGACACTTGTCAGGAGTTTCCCGCATCAGTTTGGTGCCCTGCTGACATGGCCAAGTATGTATAATTTTTCCGAGACCTGCATTGTATCGACTTGTGTAATGTAGTAACTTGCGAATTTAAGGTTTCTTTTGTGAGCTGCAATGGAACCATCAGGCTCTGCGATGCATGCGATGAGCGCCTGCATTCCCACAACAAACTCGTTTCAAGGCACATTAGAGTCCCATTGAATGAGGTGAGGAAATACCCACGTACTCCATTCATTGTATGAGAACTATGGGGTGGTGTCCAAAATGAGCCGCAAGACGTCTACTAGTACTTCATGTCCCTGTCTGCTCAGATGCCCAAGCCGAGCGGACGCTGTAAGCAGCACGCAGGAGAAACCTACGAAGCCTTCTGCACAATGTGCCATGCTCCTGTTTGCCGGCTGTGCCGACCCAACCACATTCATGCGGATGTAACCGGCGGATTGGCGGCCAGAGATCCTGAAGGTAGACTGAGTTCAACGTCGCGCTGGTTTGCTTATGGAGACTCCCTGTTAGACCATGTTTAACCCTGAGGGCATCCATCTGGCGTCTCCTGTGCAGGCTTTTGATATATTTGTCTTGTCTGCGTTGCTGTCAGGAGCTTGCACATTAATTCCGCTGTCAGTTGCGTACTCCGGCATATTGGAGAGAGGCCGCCAGCCTCACCTCATCTTGGAGAAACGCAGAAAAGAGCTTCGGGGAAGACTCGAAGCTCTTCAAAGCCTCATCGAGTATGGCACCGTGAACACGCCCTCGGCAATTGCTTCTGTTTCTCTTCTTGTCGCCTATGACGCTGTTTCAATTCGTGCGTTTTTGACTGCAGTGGCGCTCGGTGCAACTGCCGCTCGGTCGAGCAGAGGTGCTACTGCATTTTGGAGGAAACTATGAATCAGCTGAGGGTGAGCGGCCAAGGCTTCAGGGCTGCATGAATGTTAGCAGTGCGGCATGAGAGACTGGCACTCAACGTCGAGGCTTGGGATACAACGCCTACATTGCACAGGTGCTTGCAAGCAGCGACGTTCTCTTAAGTGTCCGGGGAGCACGCTTGCTTCCTCAGCGGTGTCCTGAGCTGGTGGTGTGGGTTGATTATTTCCTCAGTCATGCACGGAAGACAAAATGGGCATAGTTTTGTGCCAGCAGTTCGAGTTGCAAAGACAAATGGACATGATTGAGTGGAGTGAGCAATTTTTGAGACTCCAGCGCTCCGTACTTCCTCCAGCCGATTATCTAGCTTCATGGTAAGCCACTTTCCCGAGTTTTTTTGAAAAGATGAATTTTTGTGCACCAAGCTGGGCCGGTACAGACCCAAAGCTGTCTTGCTTGGGCGAGAAATTTTAGTTCTAGTCCCGGCACATAATCAGCTGAGTGGGCGATCAGGCTTAGACATTGCCGCCTACGAGATGAGATGGAGTCCCTCGCGGGTGACTTTTCTGATCTCTCACAAATGGTTTTGGTGAGTATTCCAGAGAGGCTTACATTTTTTGTTGAGCTGTTTACTGCAGCTCTACCCATGTAGCATCACAACGCTTCATGCCACAGATATCCTGAAGGCTCTTATGGGTCCTTTGCGTGGATTCTTTTTTGCAGCCAAATATGCGGTTGGAAGGCGCCGTCGAACTTCTCACGGATACAGCTTTACAGCACAAAGAACTCCACCGGCTGCGAGGAAGCAAACATTAAAGCCCTTCACCCAGAAAGGCAACCCACAGCTTGATTTACAGCGGCAAATCGCTTCAGAATTGATATGTCTTTGTTATGGCGTCTAGTAGACCCGCAGCTGATAGCAGGCCTTCTGGCAGTATGGCAGTCCGTTGCAGAATCGCGATGCAAGCTGCCACTTTTTTTGTGCATGTGCTGAGAAGTTTTGGTGCAAACCGCACTCTTAGTGCCTTCTACAAAGGTAGAAGTAGCACCAACATCAAGAAGCCCTTTAACGCTGCAAAGTCACCACAGGCATCCGCATGGTTCTAATATGCTGAGAATCTACGTGAAGAGCAAACAGTGAAATCAAACCGCGAAGCGCACTAGGAAAACAGGATAAAGAGACATACAGAAGTGGCTAAAAACGGCAGTTCTGCAGAGCCGCCACACAGCATTTAGTCTCGACAGGTGTGCCGGATAACGGCGCAAGCGCCGTAACAACATCTCCATCCCTGGATCGATACACATGGCATGCGAAGGCCATCGTAGATGGATGGGCTGATCAAAGAGCTAGAAAAGCCGTGCTTAACGCCGTCCATAGTAGTTTCACAATCGCCGTGCCCTTACGCTGTTCTTATGTATATTATGTTTGGTGGGTCGTTTCAGACATTAGTGGTGCAAAATGCATCTACAGAGGTCCTCAGCGTGTTCCTCGATCACCGAACCGAGTTTCCTGACGGAATGCTACTGGACTACTGCCGTATCCTCCCTACGACTACAGCGTCTTCCTACAACGAGAACATTTTAGTGCTGCTTGGCAACTGAGATATCCGCAATTTGCTGTATGATTCCAGAGAAAGTTAGAGACGGTTCACGGGTTGGTATCAGCGAACGATGCCAGGGAAGTGGTGGCAAACGCAGCAACCGGCGTAGCTGCCACTCTGAAGCGCACAAGAACGTTGCACAGCCAATGAATTGACGCGCTGTTTCCCCTGTCAAACTGTTCTTGAATTGACCTTTCCAGATAGCGAAGTACCAGAGTTTGCTGTCATTTCCTTGCTGGCCCAATCGTAGATTTCATAGTGCTTCGTAGTGTTCCTGGGTCCGTCCGTGATGAGAAGCCAACCAGAGCCGCTTTCTCGAAGGACAAATGAGGGTCGTGGGAGAGATTTGGAACTACTTAGGATGCACGAAAGGCATCATGCTAGAAAGAAATGAGAGGCTGTCTGGGACGGCTGGAAGCTTTGCTGCTGTGCTTCCCGATGGTTAATGCACAGCATTAACAGAGCTCGAACTTGAAGCATGCATTAGCAGCCGGCTCGTTCTTGCTGCTGATCCGCCTTTTGTTACAGGCGGCGTTCTCAGCAGCATGCAAGCCAGCGCATTATGGCACATGTAGAGTGCAACCTCTGCAAGAAAGGAAGGCCCGCTGCTTGCTGCGCAGGATCTCAGGTGCGCCGTTACCACATTCCAGTACACACGACAAAACCAGCAGCTAATCTTTGCCTTGAGCGTTTTCTAATCTTCCATGTTATATAAGGTCATAGAGGTGGGCTGGAAGAGTAGCGTTGCATCCATCAAAAGATGGTGTGAACCGATTTGTCACCAATCGCTAGCTATTCTTGTCCCCATGCCTCATTCTGCACCCAACGTTGAAACATCTGCATGGTCATGTCCCTTAGCCCTTGCTAAAGTCCCTCCAGAAATGTAGCATGGAACTGGTCAGCCTTCAAAATGAAGAAACGGCAGGGACCCGCAACCCCGTTGTCTTGATCATGACGTCTTTGACACTGAAGCGGACCCTAAGGTCTGCCGGTGCATTTTTTCCGCTGAAAACGAATAGAATACAGCTCTCTACTGAAGAGCTACCTGATTATCCTTGTGTTTGCTCCGCGATTCGTGCTCGCCGAGGGCCTGCGCTGAACCAGCAGCCAATATTTTGCCTCTCGGTACGTGCTTATGTGTGCCTAATTCAGAGCATTTGCCGCTCTCAAGAGCCCATGTGCGTGCCAATAGATGTACGTTATACAACTAAACTTTGCGGAGTGGTCCTCGGTTGTGGTGTTCAGCAAGACCAGCATTGCTGCTCAGTCGCGAACGGGCTGTAATTTACTGCAAAACGTGGTTCATCCCTTTAGCTGCTGCGAAATTACTTAGTTGTTCAGCATGTTTTATTTAGAGACTAGCGGTTTCTTAGAAAGAACTAAGTTGTCCCGAGTCCGCGTTGCCATATTCGAGTCACCGGCGGTCCCAACGGAATTTTTACCTAGACACCCTCAACGCTTAATCTTCCTCCAAAACGTACAAGTTAATTTATCAATTAATCTCTAGACACTCAGTTAGTTGAAAATGTTCTGCTTTTGTAGGCACTGGTAGTGCCCCGCGCTACGTTCATTTTTAGATCGAATCCGAACCCCGCAGGCAATCGGTTCTGGCAGTGGTTTACGCGAGAGAGGGAGGCCAGATCCAGCAAAAATGACTCCTTAATTAGCGTGACTGTGCAACTAAGAAATATGTAAACAGTTGTTGCTGCTGTTTTCCTGTGTTTGTTGTGCTTCCGTGAGCCTTTGCCAATAGTATCGCTCGAAAATTGCCGGACCTCTCAGTCCTTCTCTCCTCTTAGATTTCCCTCTGATTTCTGATGACTATGTCTTGAACGAGGAACTGAAATCAAAGGTTGGACAACTTTTCCAGTTTTTGGCACAAATGGAAGGCAGCCAGCGGACTGCCGAACCCTGGGCCCGTGGGGAGGCTTCTTCAGTTGTTACTTTGCCCCCAATTGGGGTGGAGAATCACTGTAATTATGGAAGAGATTATAGTATTCGGCGCCCTTCTGCTTTCCGGTGTCGACCTCACTTGGCACTTACTGTTACTGCTGTCTTAACTTCCGTACTTACCTTAATTTTCGCTATATCGCTGTGTTTCCAACCCGTCATAAAGGCAACGCAACCGAGAACAGCTTTTCGCAGGCTTTCAGCTGGCGGTGAAACTCCAGAAACACCTCCCAGCGCTGGTTCCCCGCCGTACCTATGCGAAATTGCTCTTTCAGTGGGGAGGTCTCCCTCAGAGATGCCCGAATCTCCGGAACTTCCCACGGCAACTACTGATCCAACAAAGGAAGAAACTAAAGTGTATGAAACGGAGTACAATGAAAAACCACCTTTGATGTACCCTTCAGAGGGATGTAGCGAGCAAGGCAAAAATATACCCTTTAAAGACGAAAACCCAATGCAGACCAATCCAGTCGCAGAAACTAGCAATGAAAGCTTTCACGCCTTACCAGTGGAGCAAGAAGAGCCTGAAGTGTTAAGTGCTCCCTTGGAAGTCATAGAGATCTTAGACTCATCAGACGATGACGCAAATTCAGATGTGGTCATATTGGGCGAAGACTCAAGAGATTTGACAAGAGAAATAGAAATGTCTCCCATACCGACCGGGCCTCCGGTGTCCTTGCCTTGTGTACACCAAAGCCCTTTATTTTATGATAAAGTTGTTCAAAAGGGGGAGCAGCAGACTATGCCGTTTGGAGAATTTGACGAGCCGCCAGCGAAAAGGCTCGCCGCTGAAGAAGAGGGGCTGGACGTTGCAATGGAAATTTCCCGGCTTGATTCACTTCTAGACGAACCCCCCAAAACGGCTGCCGACCTGGTGCGCACACGCCTTCTACACTGGCCGCAACCTCAGCTGCCAAATTACCCCGCCAGAGTGATGTTGGGGGACGGAGTTGAGTATCCCCTGGGGCACGTAGACGCTGCGTTGGCATTGCAGCCTGCGGAAAATGGAATTTACGTGACGCCCGGCGGGCTTGGTGATAGTATTCCCGGTGATGTTTATAGTGTGCTTTTTGGAGTACCGGAGGCTAATGAATCTGGAGGCCCGCTCTTTGAAATACTAGAGGATGATGAATCTGCAGGCCAAGATCAGCATCCTGTGGTCATTTCTTCAGATTCAGACGATGGTACGAGTGGAGCCATGAAAGCTGGGATGGGCGCCTCTCACCGGAAGGTGAGCTACGCTCCGCCTTTCTGTGTATCGAGCTGCTGCCCTGTCCACTAATCGTTTGGCATTTTCTGTCACCTGCCTTATTCCATCCCGTATTGTGAAAATTGCTGTTCAAGTCGCCTGCGAAGCAACCCATAATGTGCCTATTTTGTTGCAGCGGCGTCGTCGGGCACTTACAGCTCCAGCGAAAGTAAAACGCTTCCTTGAAAATGAAGGTCATGCAGCCCATCGCATGCTCCAGGCGAGATATCAATTTCTGCCAAAATCGGTAAGTCGCTGAAGGGAGAGTAATTCGATGGTGCCACTATTTGCTTGTTCGCTGGCTCTCAACTTATTGCTTTCGAGAAGTTCGATTATGTCCACTTCGCACTCCATCGATATCATCCGATCGGCTCCACCGTGTTTCAAGCTGCTTCCTGTGTGAATGGTTTTTGATATTTGAGACCTCCCACTTTTTCTTAGATAGCCATTAGCGAGGTTTGCTATGCTCCTCATGCATGCGCAGCCTTATTGTGCCTTTACAAGACACAGTTTCGAATTTTTGATGGTGAAATTACACTTTCGCGAAACTTGGGTAGGGTATCCAGACCAACGATGGGCATTTAGATTCAGACACTTTGTGCCTTTTTGTGTACCTTAACAGCTTATTCCAATTAGATTGGAGCAAAGATATTTCATGGTTAACTAGAAATTCCATTTCCTGAGGGACAAGCTAAATCAACCCTGCATTGTGCGCATCGTCCCTTAAGCATTTGGTGGCTTTTGTGACTTTCAGCTTGTTACAATTCTGGAATCTCGGAAAAGTGGAGGATGTACAGAGTGCTACATGAGGCACCCTTTTTATCGGTTGCCTAATATCCGCAAGATTAGACCCGTTCGCGTATTTAATTTCGAAGAGCTAAATGCAAAAAGGGTTTGTCGCGTAGACATTTACCCCTCCTTATATAGCCTTCGGGAAATCCTGAGTAGGCGCGAGGTTCATGGGTCTTCGTTGAAAACGCTTCTCAGAGCCTGTGAAGATCTTGTTGAATTTTTAATCACCGCTCCACGGACAGAAAGAAATACCGACTTCCCGTGCTTTCTACAGGAGGCACTTGGACGCCGTTTTCTTGCGCTGGATGCTGTGTGGTGTATTTGCGAAATGCTTGGCCCAGCAGCGCAGAAAGACAAGTGGTGGCGCACAATGATGGATAGTGTATTAGAACTGCCACAGCTACGCATTCCGCAGACAATACACCAACATAGCCGATTTCCCCTTGTGATGAAGCTCGCTGCTGTGTTGTATAAGTACAATGAAGGGCAACGCCCTCCAGCCAGGGAGGTAGTTCAACTGAAGAGGGACCTTTTCGACTTCAGTACTGGCCCGCGCTTTTTTAGGTATGAACGGTGGAATCCATGGCGGGATGATGATAAGGAAGCTAGAGAAAACTCCATAGAATGTACACTTGAGGAAAATGAAGTAAAGGAAGAATCTGACGGACAGACGGCTAGTTAAGGGGGCTGCATTATTGAGCAGCTCAAGCCCAAGTCCCTCGCTTTTTATGCTGGAAGTGCGTCAGCAACTGGCGGTTTTTGGCTTTCAGCGGAAAGAACATGACTCTTAGGGGATTTGGAGAGCGATAAGAATCATGTCGCATTCTCTTTACAATGCAAAGGGAAGAGGGATGCAACGTCATTCCGCGTTTAACAGATTCCCATTGAAACGAGGCCCATGCCTGCAAAGGACAACGAAGGTCAAAAGTGCAAGTGTACCACGCAGGTTTCTTCTAAGATTCCTTTTTAAAAGCATTATTCAGTGAAATGCTGCCTTTTAAAGGCGTCGTTTGCTGACTCCGGTGTCTTTTACTGTACTCGGTGTGCTCTTTCATGTCCGCGTAAGCTGAACTCGACGGCCTGGTGCAGAGCTCACAGAACTCTTTGCAGCTACTGAAGCCGTCGTTGCTACCTAAGGCAACAAAAGCTGTAAATCTTTGACGTAACGCCGGGGGTGCTACGAATTTTATCTAGAAAAATGCAAGCAAGAACAGAGCGCAGTAGGGAGCAGCTCACGCCAGCGCTTTTAAGGAAGATACTGCAAGCACCACTCAAATTTGTGGATTTCAAAGACCCAAGACCCGCTCGAGCCCAAGACTCTTACTGAGATGCGACATAACAGTGCACAATTTGCCAGTCTTGTACGAAAGCACCTGTGTGCACCAGTTTGCTCCCTGTGGCACTCTGGCATTATTGCGCAGGAAATGGTGGTCTCAACTTTTCAAGCCAAACAGTAGACACGGTAGAATGTGCCTGCATTGTTCAAATGGCGTAATAAGGCATCCATTGTGAGTGTGGGGCGGCCGAGTGCCGAGAAAGAATTTCGACGGCCTCAAGTGAAGCAAGCTTAGTCAGGAACAAATATAGTTTCTGTTCCTCTGTTCGAAAAGGCGGAGTCTGCAACAGAAGCCAACCCGAAATGAGTCTGTTCTCTATTCGCCATCTACACTACAGCGAGTGGTAAGGCAAGGTCTTCGTCTCTGAAGGCACCGCCCAGCCCCAAAGCACAACTGTGTCATCTTGCTCATTCAAATTAGAGATATGGCGGCATAACCCCTTGGAATGGCCCGCTCAGAGGTGACCCGAGCATTGACTGCCGCTCTCCAAGGAAGACCGCTCTTTAAACGCGCTGGAATAAAAGGGTTTTTTGTTTAAGGCAATTTTAAGGTAGAATTTGTTCAGCCACCTTTCGCATGCACTGAACTGTCGCTGCTGACACAAAGTAGGGCGTTTGGCATCCCGGAAACAAATGAGTTCCATCTGGAGTTTCCGAAGTTTGTTGCCTCTGCACCACCATCTGTTGCTCACATTGTTCCGCCACTTCATGTTTATAGGTGGTCCTAGCCAGCGCCTCGCTGACCTCTACAGGCTAAATGCATTTCAGTTTTATGATTTTGTACGAAGCCTTTTGTGCCTGTCTCCCGCTGTTTCAGCTCTCTTCGCAATTTGGGGCGTATATGGACTCATTTGTGCATAGCTAGAGCGCCCTATGCATTCTATGTATTCTGTGAACTGCTTTGTATTCGTAGCCCTGCTGGCGTACTCGCTAGAGAACCATTTGCGTGGCTCGGCACTTAGCCTTGCCCTTAATTGGCTTTTTCGGTGCCCGTGCAGTGCTTGTTCCTTTAGCAGATACTGAACATCATTTGCTGTCTAGTTGTATTCACGATTCTGCTGCTGCTGCTTTTATTGCTTTTATTGCCTACACCTTCTGCGGCACACCACGGGCACCTAGGACAACAGAAGGTTTCCCCTTGAAGCATAGAGTTAAACCGGTGGCCGCTAGCTACACACTAGCCCCCTGAACTAAGTGAAAAGCCAAAGTCCTGAGTGACGCCACAGCAGCGGTGGGGCCCCCAAGGTCTGCCCTGGGGACACTAGGGTGTAGCCTTTCGAAGCTCTGGGGAGCAGTAAGAAAGCGCAGGGCCTTCCGGCAGTCACGAAGCGCCTTAATGGCCTTTTTAACATTGCTGGGAGCTGCTGAAAGCTAGCTGCTGAGTTTCGTTGCACTCAGAAAGCTGGTTCGCTGCTGCGAGCAAAGTAGCAGCTCGCTGCATCTCCACGCTGAGTGTACAGAGGCCGCCTTTACTCTTCGCAGGCAAAGAACTCTTCGCGCACTATTCTTCTTGCCATCCCTGCGGCCCTCTCTGCCAAAGAAAGGCGTTTGTCTTCAGAATCTTTTCTGCTTCTTCTTCCGCCATTTGCCTCTCCCACTTGACCTGCCGGGGCCCCACAATCTTCTTGTGGAAGCAGCAAGGATTTGCTGCCTCTGTAGACAGAAGGATGCGGGGGTCGCCTGGCGGGTCGCCTCCAGTTCTCTGCCCTTGCTCTCGCTTCGCTGCTGCTGCTGCTGCGAATGCTGCTTCGTGAGCTGCTTCTGCTGCTGCAGCTTCTGTCATCGGTACGCCTTCTCCGAGCCCGTTCTAAGGGCACTAAGCCACTCCGCCTCTGCACAGTTTGCTGCAGTGGAGGGCGTGCTGCAGCACGCGGGCTGCAAAGGCTTCTCCAGTGCCCCTCCCGCATTTGCTGCTGCTGCCGGTAGACGCTCTCTGGCCGCCATTGCTGTCTTTCTTCCCGAGGCTCTCTGCTGCTATCTACGCACCTCCAGAGATCGTCTTGGGCTTGCTGCTGCTGCGGCTTCTGCCGCCATAGCGGCTGCTGCTGCCGCTGCTGCCCTCCCACTGCAGCAAGACGGCTGCCGGACGGCTCCTCGTGACTTAACTTTGCTTTCCGCAGCTCCCCATTGTTTTTGTTGCAGTTTGCGACGAAGACTTCTGCTGGTTTGGCAGCAGCTGGCAGCCTTTTCTCCAGCCGCAGCGGAGGCACAGGCGCGGGGGCCCTGAGATATTCATGGGACTCTCCCGACTCGTGCTGCTGCTGCCTTCGTTGCTGCTGCTTTTGTTGCTGCTGCTTTGCGGGCTGCTGCTGCAGTTGAGGCGGGGGCTGCGGCGAATGCCTCTGCAGCTGGGGCAGCTGCTGCTCCTGACACCGCTGCTGATTTCTTTGAACGGAATGGTACATGGGTGGCGCCATCTGTCTGGCGGTGGTGCGGGTGTCCTTTTGCACCCGTTGGACTTTGCTTGCGTACGGCTGCTGCTGCTGCTGCTGCAGCTGTTGCTGCTGCAGCTGCTGGTGCTGCTGCTCCAGCTGATACGGGGGGTTCTCCCTATGTATAGCTCGGCGCAAGTGATTAGCGGTCTGCTGCTGCTGGCTGTCTGCTATCCAGTGCTGTTGCTGCCCTTGCTGCTGCTGCTGCTGCGGCTGCTGAGGGAATGGCGAGTGCACTTCCGTTACGGTAGTCGCCACCAGGCTTCCGATTCTGCTGCTGCTGCTGCTCGGCAGCAGCGTGCAGCAGGAAATGTCACTTTGAAAGACGATTTCGCCGCGCGCCTCTGCTGCCTCTTGCGCAGCAGAAAGACCAAAAATGCCAATGGCCCCAGACTCCCCAGAGCAGGCAGAAGCCCCTGATGCTTCGGCTTTTCCTGCTGCAGCACTTGACTTGAGACAATTCATAATGGGCAGCCGCAGCCGGGGGTAGTTTTGCTGCTGCTGAGGAAGCACGGGTCGCCGCAGCGGGGACGGCGCTGCTGTTTCTGCGTGCAGAATTTGTGCAGCTGCAGCACCAGCTCTAGGCGCAGCAGCAGCTCCTTGCTTCCTTCTCTCCTCCTCCGCAGCATTGCTGGCTTCCTGCTCTGCAGCAGGACCCCCAGGCTTCCGCTGCAGCACGGGCTGAGGTGCAGCAGGCTCTTCCAGAGCGCCATTGGGGCCCCAGGAGGGGCCGCAGCTGCGGCCTTTCCGGCGATGAGGACAAGACGGGGCACCGGAAGCAGCAGCCGCAGCAGCAGCAGCAGCCGTAGCAGCAGCAGCAGCAGCAGCAGTAGCAGCAGCAGCAGCATTGCTGTTGTCTACTGCCAGCTTTGCGCCGAAGGCTGCCGACGTGCAAGGCTTTTCCACGTGCTCTTGATGCGGCTGCGCGTGAGCCCACTGTGTTGTCGCAAGCTCCGCAGCAGCAGCAGCAGCAGCAGCGCCAGCAGCAGCAGCAGCAGCAGCGTCATGTTCGGCGCCGACTGTTTGCCTGTGTCGAAATTCAGTGCTGTTGCTCCCGCTGCTGCTGCCGTTGCTGCCCGTACTGGGCACTGTTTGCCTGGGGCTTCTTTGTGGGCCTCCTGCTCTAGGGTAGCAGCTCGCCTCAGGCTGCTGCGGGGCTTCAGGTGCAGCAGCAGCAGCAGCAGCAGCAGCAGCAGCAGTAGGTGCAAGTAGCAAGGCGTGCAAGTCGCCGCCGTTTAGTTTCCGCTGGCTGTAGCGCGAGTGAGTTCCAGCTTCGTTGGAAGCTGCGGAGCCCAGCAGAGCCTGCTCAGCGTTTCTTACGAGCTGCAGGGCCTGCTGCACTGCTGCTGCTGCTGCTGTTGCCCGCTTGCTGTCGTGGCCCTGGAGGAGCAGCTGCTGCTGCTGCTGGAGCTTCTGCTGCAGCTCGTGCTGCAGCAGCCCCCACAGCAACCCTGCTGTCTTTTGCTGCTTTGGAGAGTGAAGCGGTTGGGGCAAAGCCCGCTGCAGCAGCAAGGCATTCAAACAGGCAGCAACAACGCTTGCAGAAGCAGAAAAGGACTTTTGCTGCTGCAAACAGCCCTTTTGCTGCTGCAAACAGCCCTAGCGCATGCAGCAGAACAGGGTAAAGTGGGCAAAACAGGAGTGGCTGCAGCAGCAAAGCAGTGCATGTATTTTTTTCTTACCCGGGGGTGCAGCACAGTTCCTACCTCCGTCTCGCGTTGCGGGTCAGGCGCTGCTGCTGCTGCTGCTGCTGCGCCTGCTGCGCCTGCTGCTGCAGCGGCAGTCTCGGCGTGCTGCAGCGTCTCTCCCGGCAAGGCAAATACTTGCCTTTGCTTAAAGAAGCCGCAGCGGCACCGGCAAACGCAGCCAGGGCCTCCCCGCCTACTGCTATTGCTGCTGCTGCTCGTGATGTTGCTGCTGCTGCTGCTTGTTCCCCTTTCGCTGGCATAGCGCGCTGCTTCTTCTCTTTGTGCCGCTGCAGCTGCAGCAGCCTCCACTGGCGCTGCAGCTTTTGGCAGTACTCCAGGAGTGCCCAACGCGTATGCTTTTGCTGCTGATGGCGTTGCTGCAGCAGCAACGTTTCCTGTACTGTCGAGAGGGCATCCCTTATTGCTAGTCTGCAGCAGCAGCAGCTGCTGCTGCTGCTGCTGCTGCCTTGCAGAGACATCCCGAGTCACTGAAGGCTGCAGTGGGGAGCCAATAGCGTAGCCACTTGGGCCCGGCAGCGCAGCTGCTGCAGCTGTTCCACGTGTGACCACAGCAGCCCTTGCTGCTGCCGCTGCTGCCGCTGCTGCTGCTGCCGACCTCGCTGCTGCTTCTGCTGCAGCTGCTGCTGGCATGGTGTCTGCACTCTGCGGGTAACTGACACTGCAGGCTGCCCCGTGAGCTGCTACTGCTTGTATTCTTCTTTCGCCTTGTTGGTCTTCTAGCAGAACAGCGTCTGGCAGCAGCTTCTTCTCTTGCTGCTGCTGCAGCACCCAAAGTAGCGCCTGCTCCTGTTCCTGCTGCAAGTGCTTCTGCTGCGGGTGCTGCTGCTGCTGGTGCTGCTGCTGCTGGTGCTGCTGCTGCTGCTGCTGCGGCAGGAACTGCTGCTGCTGGTGCTTCTGCTGCCGTTGCTGCTGCACCTGTTGTAGCTGGGGAGATTGCGGCAAAGATAAACCCACAGGCACTCTTGCATTCTGTTGGCCGCCTCTAGCCGAGGGGCGATCAGCAGCAGAAGTCCGTGCTGCTGCCTTAGCTGCTGTTGCAGTTTCTGCTGCTGGCTTTGCTGCATCGTCGCTGCTGCAGCAGCCACCGATGCCCCCCAGCCCCTTTGCGAGGCGGCTTGCGTTGAGCAGCTGCTGCGTAACCAGACGCTTCTCTTCTAGCTGCTGCAGCAGCAAGGCCTGTTCTTTGAGGCGCATGCAAATCTCTAGCCTCAGCGCAGCAGTTTTGCGGCTTCTTTCCGACTGGCTGCTGCTGCTGTTGCTGTTGCTTCTGTTGCTGCTGCAGCTGCTGCACAGAGCGCCAGGGTCCCGCAGCCGGATAGGCGCAAATATTCCTCTGAGCTCGGGTAGTCGCTGCAGTTGCTGGTGCTGTTGTGGCAGTTGCTGCTGCTGCAGCAGCTGCTGCTGCTGCTGTTTGTGCAGCTGCTGCTGATGATGCTGATGCCCCGCTTCATGCTGCTGCTGCCATAACGGCTCCACAAGTGCTTCTTCAGGCGACCTTAGACGGGTGACTGCCTGCAGCTCTTTTCCTTGTGGAATGCCTCTGCGCAGCTTATCAGCTGCTGCAGCAGCAGCAGCAGCAGCAGCAGAAGGGGCAGCAACAGACGCAGCAGGGGATGTAGAAGCAGCACCACCTGGTGCTGCTGCAGCCTCCCTTCGCTGCTGTTCCCAGCCCCCGCCATTTCGGCGACTCCCCACCTCTTGCTTTTGCGACTGCTGCTGCTGCTGCTGCTGCTGTTGCTGCTGCTGCAGCTGCTTCTGTCCCGCGCTGGTCCCTTTTTCCCTTTCTGATGTTAAGGGAGAAGCTTCGGCGCTGATTTGGTTTTGCAGCAAAGACCAAGGAGGTGTTACTGTGCCATCACACTGATGCGGCGAATGCCTGCTTGGTGAAGCAGAAGGCGCAGCAGGTGCAGCAGCAGCAGCTGCAGCAGGTGCAGCAGCAGCAGCTGCAGCAGCTGCAGCAGCGCTTTGCTGCGGGTCGGCCTGAACGCGCGGCCACGCAAATGCTGTGCCTCTCTCGGCTGACGCCAGCACAGTTACTGGGAGGGAGCACCTGCGCACACTGCCAGTGCTGCTGCTGCTGCTGCTGTTGCTGCTGCTGTTGGTGCTGCTGCTATTTCTTTTCGGCGCAGCACTGGCAGCTCCGCCAGCTGCAGCAGCAGCCCTTAATTGAGAATCTGCAGCGCCAAAGCCCAAGCCTTTTGTAGAAGCCCTAAAGAGGTGCAGCCCCAGTCTGCTGCCTGCAGCAGCATTCCTGCTGCTTTTGTCGCAGGGAACAGCATCCGCGGGAGCAGCAGTAGCAGCAGCAGCAGCAGCAGCAGCAGCACTGTTCACTTTGTTGCTGCGACCGCGACGCAGCAGCTGCCGAATTCTAGCCGTCCCCTTCTGCAGCAGCTCGAAAGAAGGGCTTCGCTGCGCTGTCTGCCTCTTTTCTTTGCGGGTGTAGCTGCGGCTACTTCTGCTGCTGCTGCTGCTGCTGCTGCTGCTGCAGCGGCGGCGGAGCTGAGGCTCTTCCGACTGGTATGCGCTCGATCCTGCTGCTGCTGCACGTGACGCGACGCGTGCAGCAGTTAATCTCATTTTATATCATTTATTTGCCGCACCGGCAGCAGCAGCACAGCAGCAGCAGCAGCAGGACACCAGATCTTGTTGCATTAAGGCTTTACTTAGCATACTACACATACTTTGCTAGCAGCTGTGGCCCTGCTGCAGCTGCAGGTGGCTTCGCCGCTGCTGCTGCTGCTGCTGCTGCAGCTGCTCTAGGCGCTGCTGCTGCTGCAGTGATTGTCCTTAATCGCAAACCTGCGCGCTTCCTCAGCTCACATAGCGTCAGCTCTTCTGCGAATTCAGCTGTATGTGGCCCTGACGAGCAGCAGCAGCAGGAGTAGCAGCAGCAGCAGCAGCAGCAGCAGGAGCAGCAGTTGCCTCTAGCTCTACAGTGACCTTCTGCTGCTATGGCGCCAGCAAGCCACGGCAGCGAGTGACATACAGATACGTTCTCCTAAACCTTTAGCAGCTGTAGCTGCTTGTACAGAGGGAGCCTCAGCAGCAGCCTGAGCAGCAGCAGCAGGAGCAGCCACAGCAGCAGCAGCAGCAGCAGGTCAGAAGCAGGGTCACCGCTGCACCGCTCTCTGGCAAAACCTCTTCCCAGCGAAGATCTGGCCGAAATGCATCTTCTTAGGACACATTAAGCAGTGAAACTTTTCTCCTTTTAACCCAGGGCAAAAGGAAAGAAGCTGCTGCTGCTGTGGCAACAGCAGCAGCAGCAGCAGCAACAGCAGCAGCATGGGGCCCTCTGGCAGCAGCAGCAGACACTGCATGGGTCTTAGCAGAAGACCTGCGCTCTTCCGGGACTTCGGTGCTGCCCGATCTTGTTTTTTTCTTTGTTATTTTTTTAAAATTAATCATCCTTCTGCAGCATTTTCTTTTGCTGCTGCTGGTGGCCACCCCAGCAACGCTGCAGCACCGACAGCAGTAGCGGCAGCAGCAGCAGCAGCAGCAGCAACCACAACTGCAGCAGGAGCCGCGACTGCTGCATGTGTTCAGGGAGACACACAGCTTCTAAGCTCGCGAAGATGAACAGCAGCAGCAGCAGCTGGAGCCAGCCGCCTGCTGCAGCAGCAGCAGCAGCAGCTGGCGAGCAGCAGCAGTCCTCCCCAGCGCACGAGCCTCTGTCTGCTGCACTTCTAGCAGACACAGCAAAACGCATGCAGCACGCAGACTCTTTCTGGGGGCAGCTCGAGGCAGCAGCAGCAGCAGATGTGGGGCCCCAGAGAGCGAAACGGTAAGCTGCTGCCGCTCCTGCTGCAGCAGCTGCTGCTGCTGCTGCAGCTTCTGCTGCAGCTACTGCTGCAGCTCCTGCTGCAGCTTCTCTTGCAGCTACTGCTGCAGCTCCTGCTGCAGCTCCTGCTGCAGCTTCTGCTACAGCTCCTGCTGCAGCTTCTGCTACAGCTCCTGCTGCAGCTCCTGCTGCCGCTCCTGCTGCAGTTCCTGCTGCAGCTCCTACTGCTGCTGCTGCTGCTGCTGCTGCTGCAGCTTCAGCGCCGCTTCCGCGGCGCATGCATGCGGCATCTGCATAATGCATTACATAAATTATGTTAATGTATTTATATTTTGCAATTATTCAAATTATAAATGCATTTATGCAAATTATAAATCTTCTTTTCTTTAAAAAGTGCACTGTGGTGTAAATACTCTCCTGGTGTTCCTGCTGCGCCTGTGTACACTGCAGCGTATGTTTGCTGCTCGCTTCTATTTCTATTTGCTGCTGCTGCTGCTGCTGCTGCTGCTGCTGCTGCGGCAGCTTGAAACTATTTAGGACTTCTTCTTTTTATTATTCTTTTTGTTCATTTGTCTGCTGCAGCAAATTGTTTTTCCGTTTGTGTCTTTTTCTTTTGCTGCTGTTTATATATTCAACGATGCATTTGTGGTTTGCTGCAGTGGTGCGTTTCTGGCTGCGGCCCTGCCTACCAACCCTAAACCCTAAACCCTAATTTAGGGTTTGGCTGCCTGCGTTTGCTGCACAGGCTCGTCGAAGTCTTCAGGCGCAGCCACAAACAGAAAATTGACGCCACAAATTTAGAACATGCTGAGCAGCTTGCTGCTCAGATATTTTCCGCGCTGCAGCAGCAGCAGTAGATTTGCTGCTGCTGCAGCCCGAGCAGCAAAAGCTGCAGCAGCAGCAGTAGCTTTGCTGCTGCTGCAGCGCGAGCAGCAAAAGCTGCAGCAGCAGCTGCTGCTGTGCATTCGGCGCCAAAAGCGGCCGCAGAGATACTCTCCGCCATGCAGCAGCAGCAGCAGCAAACAGAACGTTGAGGGTGCAGCAGCTAAGCCAGCAGCAGCAGCAGTTGCTGCTGCTGCTGCTGTTGCTGCAGCGCGCCGCGGACGGACAGCGTCGGGCTCTCCTGCTGCAGCAGCAAGTGCAGCAGCAACAGCAGCAAGTGCAGCAGCAACAGCAGCAAGTGCAGCAGCAACAGCAGCAAGTGCAGCAGCGCAGCAGCTTCCCAGTACGTAAGCCAAGAAGTTAAAAGGCGAGAGGACAACCCGCCTGTCTGTCTCTGTTGCTGCTGCAGCAGAAAGGCAGCAGCTGCTGCAGCAGAAAGGCAGCAGCTGCAGCAGCAGAAACGCAGCAGCTGCAGCAGCAGAACGCAGCAGCTGCAGCAAAGGCACCCTTTTGCCGCAGCACAAGCAGCAGCAGCTGCTGGAAATAGGATTGTGCTGCACTGTCTGGCAGCAAGCAACTCTCCCAAGGGAGGATCTGCTGCAGCAGCAGCGGCAGCTGCAGCAGTTGCTGCAGCAGTTTCTGGGCAGCAGCTGCAGCAATTGCTAAGGCAGCAGCAGCGGCGTTGCTGTGCTGCTGCTACGCACGCAGCAGCAGCAGCTGCTGCTGCTGCTGCAGCTGGTGCACCTGCTTTTTCTTTGCTTTTTACTATTGTGGCAGCAGCTGCGGCTGCTGCAGCGGGCCTTCCATCTGCTGCTGCAGCAGCAGCAGCAGCAATCGCTGCAGATGTAAAGCGCCCAACTACTCCTGCCATTATTTCTTGAACGCAAAACAGCAGCAGCAACAGCAGCAGCACCGCTGCTGCTGCTGCTGCTGCTGCTGCGAGCTCTAGTGTACAGACACCGCAGCTTAGTCAACACTCATAGCGCCCTGCGACGCCTGAGACATCGTGCGCGGCAGCAGCGAGTCCTCTTCGTCTTGCTGCTGCTGCTGCTGCTGCTGCTGCTGCTGCTGCCGCTCTTGCTGCTGCTGCTGCTCGAACGGCGTGGGCAGCAGCAGCTGCTGCTCCGAGTCTTCTGCTTCTGGCAGCAGCAGCATGCCGTCCCGCTCGAAGGCTGCTGCTGCAGTTAGGCCGTCGAGGCCCGTTTGCTGCTGCTGCAGCTGCTGCAGCGCAGCAAGGGGGTCTGAGGGCTTCTGCAGCTGCAGCAGCTCCTGCTGCTGCAGCAGCGGCGGCAGCTGCAGCAGCGGCAGCAGCTGGTTCTGTACGTACGGCACAAGGGCCATGCAGGAAGTTGTGGGGTCCGGTGGGGGCGGAGGCCCCACTGCGGGAGCTTGTGCTGCTGCTGCTGCTGCTGCTGCTGCTGGTTCTGCTGCTGCTGCTTCAGCTGGTGCAGGTGCTGCTGCCGCCGGGGCTGCTGCTGCTGCTGCTGCTGCTGCTGTTTGCAGCTGCGTGTCTGCTGTCTTGAGGCGGCTAGACTTCGGGAAGAAAACCTCTGAAGATAAAGATCGCTTGCGATTGGAGGACACGCAGGGCTGCTGCTGCAGCTGCTGCTGCAGCTTCTGCTGCTGCTGCAGCTTCAGCTGCTGCTGCTGCTGCTGCTGCTGCTGCTGCTGCTGCGGAGCGGGCTCAAGAGGAGGGCTTCTGCCGCGTCTTGAGCTTCCCCCCTCGCTCAGCAGCCGCTGCCGCTTCGACTGCCCCAGCGGTAGCTGCTGCTGGTGCTGCAGCTGCTGCTGTAGCTGCTGCTGCTGCAGCAGCAGCTGGTGCTGCAGCTGCTGAGATTGCAGTGGTGCAGCAGCAGCAACGCTGGGGTGTGGCGGAGCAGCATCAATTATTGGAGATAGGCCCCGCTTCTGAGCTGACGGCATGTTGCTGCCGTTACCGTTGCTGCTGCTACTGCTGCTGCTGCTGCTGCTGCACTTCCAGTGGACCTGCTGCTGCTGCTGCTGCTGCTGCTGCTGCTGCTGCTGTTATTGCTGCAGAAGGGTTCCAGGCCCTAACTGCCACTGCAGGTGCTGAGCTTTCTGCTGCAGCTGCGCGCGCAGCAGCAACAATGACTCGTGCTGCATGCTCCTCCCAATAGTTCGTTTTCGCCTTTCGCTGCTGCTGCTGCTGCTGCTGCTGCTGCTGCTGCTGCTGCTCCTTTGGGGGCAGCTGGTGCTCTTTCCGCAGCAATAAGCCACAACTCAATGTGTAGCCTGAGGAAGGCTGTTCAGCAGTAGAAGCAAGCAGCAGCAACACACAACCCGGCAGCTGCGCCCCTATTGCTGCTGCTGCTGCTGCTGCTGCTGCTGCTGCTGACGGCACAGCAACTCGAGGCCTAACTTGTTTTTAAGCAGCAAAAAGAAGAAAAAGGTCTTTAGAAAAGAAATGAAAACTCACAGACAATTAACTGCAGCCTTTGGGCCAAAAGACTGCAGATTCTGGGGGGCAAGCCCAGTGCCTGCGGCCGCTGGTGTTCCTGCTGCTGCTGCTGCTGCTGCTGCTGCTGCTGTTGCTGCTGCTGCTGAATGCAAAGTTGGAGTTCCCGGAAAACTTCTTCGTTATTTTAATGGATATTTGCTTTTGCTGCTAGTTAGAATCTTAATTTGTCTGTGCGCAGCGCAGCAACGGGGGGCCCCCCAGTGTGTGTCAGTTCATTTGGACTGCTGCTGCCTGCTGCTGCTGCTGCTGCTGCTGCAGCTGCTGCTGCTGCTGCTGCTGCTGCTGAGGTGTGGGGAGTACTTACACCGCAGAGTCCTAGTAAAGACAGCCCCTGCAGGCTCTTTGAGGTCAAATATACGGCGGGGTGTATCAGCAGCAGGAGGCGCAGCAGCAGCAGCTCCGGGAGCGCTGCAGGTGCAGCAGCAGCAGCAGCCGCTGCTGCTGCTGCAGTTGCTTCTGCCTTCCTGAAACTGATATGAAGGACTTATGAAGCTTTCGCAGCTTCTTCAGTCCCCCGGAGCTGCGGTGTCTGTACACCTCAAGGTAGCCACTGCAGCACGAGCCCGCAGGTTGCAGTGTACGTACACCTCAGCAGCAGCACTGGGCAGTGAAAAAAAAGCAAAAAATGGAATTTTAATTTTGTTTTAAAGATAAAATAAAAGCCCCACTTCCTCCAATTAATTTAAATTGAAGAAAGGACTCAAATTTGAATCAAAATGTCCATTTTAGTCAAAAGCATTTGACCAAAACTAACAAAAATAATTTCCAAAACTTCCAAAAAGACCAGCAAAGGCTCTCAGGCAAATAAACTCGAAAACTAAAAACAGCTCAACTTCTAGTATACATACATATGTACAGCATATCATATATTTATATATATCTGTATTCATATATATACTTCTATGTGTATATATATATGTATAAATATAATATATGCATCTAAATATATATATATATATATATATGCATCTACATATAAAAATATAGATATACGTATTATATGTATACATATATATATATCTACATATATGTATATATATACATATAAGTATATATATATAAATACAGGGAATATATGAGACACATTTATATGATTCAATATAACCTTAAAATTGCACTTCTGCTTTTTTCTTTAAAAAGTCTTTTTTTCTTTCGGCGCTAAAAAGCAGAGGTGACCCTCCTTCGCAAATCCAGGCGCATGCACTTAATGCATGCAAGCGCATGCAAATGCATGCATTTGCATGCAAGTGCATGCAAGTGCATGCAGTGCATGCAAATGCATGCAAGTGCATGCAAATGCATGCAAGTGCATGCACTGCATGCAAATGCATGCATTTGCATGCGCCGGTGCTGCTGCTGATTTTCAAATTTAGTTTGGCGACGCCCAGGGAGTCTTTGGGGAAAAGAGCTGCTGCCTTGTCTATTGCACATTAATGTTGCATTTAATAAATTTAATTTTTGATTATAATGCATTTTTAATTTGCAAATGCAATGCATGCATGCGCTCCAGGCTGTGCATACACCTCAAAAGGCACAGACAGCAACTCCCCGCAGGTTGCCAGCGCAGCAGCAGCAGCAGCAGCAGCAGCGCGTCTGCTGCTGCAGCGCTGCAGCGGCAACGGCAATGCATCTGCTGCTGCAGCAGGCGCAGCCGCAGCAGCGCCAGCGCGTCCGCTGCTGCAGCTGCTGCTGCAGCAGGCGCAGCCGCAGCAGCGCCAGCGCGTCTGCTGCTGCAGCTGCTGCTGCAGCAGGCGCAGCCGCAGCAGCGCCAGCGCGTCTGCTGCTGCAGCTGCTGCTGCAGCTGCTGCTGCAGCAGGCGCAGCAGCAGCAGCGACAGCAGCAGCAGCAGCAAACCTCAAGGATCGAAGCAAAGCCTAACTGCCCACTGGCGCTCCCCCGGCAGCAAAATGACACGCACTGCTCCAAACAGCTGCAGCACAGCTTCTTCTCCTTGCTGCAGTCCGCTGAGGGGCCCCGGGGGCCCCCGCAGCAGCTGCGCCGTGTCCTCGTCCACAGGCAGCGCGCACGGCGGTTCTTGCTGCTGCTGCTGCTGCTGCTGCTGCTGCAGCATCCTCTAAATCAGTGCCATTTGCTGCAGGGTCCGCCGCTGCAGCATTGCCACCTTGAGTGCAGGCTGCTGCAGCGTCTGCAGCAGCAGTTCCCGCTGCTGCTGCTGCTGCTGCTGCTGCTGCTGCGCTAGGAGAAGCAGCACTGGCTTCGCTTTCGCTGCAAGCAACCAGCTCGAGCCCGAGGGTCAAAAGGCTGCAGCTGCGGGCCTGCCGCAGCAGCGGCACAAACAGCTGCAGCGCGGGCTGAGTGGGGGTGTCTTCTTCCGCAGCAGCAGCAGCAGCAGCAGCAGCAGCAGCAGAGCTGGTTGCTTCCTCTGTGCCGTCACTTAGATCCGGCAGCTCCGTGGCCTCATTTGTTTCCTGCGCCTCTTCGGCTGCATCAGGTCCTGCTGCTGCTGCTGCTGCTGCTGCTGCATCTGCGCCTGCGCCTCCTGCTGCTGCTGCTGCTGCTGCTGCTGCTGCTGCTGCTGCTTCGGGGGGCCACGCAGGGGGCACGTGTATGTGGGCTATGGTGGCGTAGCCGTACTGCAGCCCCTGAGGATGAGCAGCTTTTAAATATTCATTTAAATACCAAGAAGAAAAAGACAATTGAGCATCTTCTGCTTTTCGTTTGCTGCGGTTGCAGTGCAGGCAAGTCACCTGCAGCAGCCGCAGCCACAGCCGCAGCAGCAGCTCTGCAGCAGCAGCTGGAGCGAAACCAACAGCAGCAGCAGCAGCCACAGCCGCAGCAGCAGCTCTGCAGCAGCAGCCGCAGCGGCAGCGAAACGAACAGCAGCAGCAGCAGCCACAGCCGCAGCAGCAGCTCTGCAGCAGCAGCCGCAGCAGCAGCGAAACCAACAGCAGTAGCAGCAAAACCGCAGCAGCAGCAGCAGCAGCAGCAGCAGCAGCAGCAGCGACTGCACCTCCAGATCTGCCAGCGGCTCCATAATGCTTTTTGCTTGCAAAATTCGATGAACTAAAATGTCTGCGTAGCGCCGAATGGGCGAAGTGAAGTGGAGGTACACCGGGAGAGCCAGACCCCAGTGCCTGCAGCAGCAGCAGCAGCAGCAGCAGCAGCAGCAGCAGCGCAAGTGCGACGTCGCAGGTAACGAGTTGAAGCTACAGCTAGCTCCAGCAGCTGGAGCAGCAGCTGGAGCAGCAGCTGGAGCAGCAGCTGGAGCAGCAGCTGGAGCAGCTGCAAACCGCAGTGGAGCACGCAGCAACAAAAGCTGCAGCCCCAAAAGCACTAGCAGCAGCAGCAGCAGCAGCAGCAGCAGCAGCAGCAGCAGCAGCATCCTACTCCGCGGAAAGCAGTTCTTCTGGCTTTTCTGTGTTGAGAGCTATGTCGGGCAGAGGCAGCGATCCGTCTGCAGCGATTTCACTTGTGCGGTCCTTGTCGCTAATGCTGCTGCAGCTGCTGCTGCTGTTGCTGCTGCTGAGGTCCGCAGCAGCAGCAGCAACAGATGTTGCTGCTGCTGGCGCCACGACTCTGTGGCTGGGGACGTACTCGGCCGGCAGCAGGTCCTTAAGACAAGCGAAGCACAAGGCCTGAGCAAACCGAAGCAGCGCAGCAGAAGTAGCAGCATGCAGCAGCAGCAGCAGCAGCAGCAGCAGCCCACGGCACAGCAGCAGCAGCAGCAGCAGCCCACGGCACAGCAGCAGCAGCAGCAGCAGCAGTATGTGCGGACCCCGAAAGTCTGAGGAGACATTCGAGAAGCGCAGAAGTTTAACAGAAGCCCTAGGGAGACAGCGTCGGGTTCGTTTCCACCGTCGCTGGAGTCAGCAGCAGCAGCAGCAGCTGCTGCTGCTGCTGCAGGACCTGCTGCTGCTGCTGCTGCTGCTGCTGCGGGAGCCGCAGCTTCGCCAGCTAGTTTGTCACTGTGAGCAGCAGGCCCTTGCGCATCAGCTCCCTGACTCTCCTGAAGAAGCGCAGCAGAGGCGTCTACCTGCGTCTGCTGCTGTTGCTGCTCGTCTTGCTGCTGCTGCTGCTGCTGCTGCTGCTGCCTGAGCTGTGCAGCAGCACGGAATTCGCGTGCCAAGGAGGGGCCAATTAGCCGCAGCACTCGCTGCGTTGCTTGCGCGTTGCTGCTGCCATGTCTCCGCACAACACCCCCAAATACTAGGGGTGACGCTGCTGCTGCTGCTGCTGCTGCTGCTGCTGGTGCTGCTGCTGCAGCTGCTGCTGCTTGACCTTCAACCAGCAGCTCCTCCGCCTCCTGTTGGTCGGTTATACCTCTTGCGTCAGCATAAGCAGCTGCAGCAGCATCATTCGCAGCTGGGCTTGCGGCTGCCGCTGCACTTCCTGCTGCTGCTGCTGCTGCTGCTGCTGCTGCTGCTGCTGCATGCCTGCTGTCGCTGACAATGCGAGCAGCAACAACGTGGTTGGCTAAAACCATCGCCTCCTCCACCATGGAGTGAGCCCACGGCCTTTGCTCCCTCACAACTCTCAGGCGCAGCGGCCCGCTGCTGCTGCTGCTGCTGCTGCTGCTGCTGCTGCTGCTGCTGGGCCGTTCGAAAGAAACGCTCCAGCCGGCAGCGGCATTTAGCTGCAAGCTGCCGCTGCGGCTGCGCAGAGCTGCGCGGTTTGCTGCCAGGTGGTGCAGCAGCAGCAGGTCCTCAGCAATTCCCCCTGAGCAGCAGCAGGCCCAAGAAGCAAAACTAATGCGCAACAAAGCATCCTGCAGCAGCAGCAGCAGCGGCACAAGCAGCAGCAGCAACAACGGCAGCAACAGCAAGACCGTCAGCAGCAAGATCAGCAGACGCAGCAGCGGCAGCAGCAGCAACAACCGCAGCAGCAGCAGCAGCAGCAGCAGCAATGCTTACCTGGAATGCCGTGTTTGCTGCCTTCCTCTCTTATGATGCCAATGGCGTCAGCCACTTCCATGGGGGAGAAGTTTGCTTCCTGCTGCTGCCGCTCCAGCTGCTGCAGCACCTGCTGCAGCAGCTGCAGCTGCTCACCTCCGGACTCACGTTGCTGCTGGCCCTGCTGCCGCTGCTGCTGCTGCTGCTGCTGCTGCCGGCGGGCAGCAGCTATCAACTGCTGCAAGTTTCTTGCAGAGAGAAGGCGAAGCAGCTGCGGGGACACCAGAGGGGAGGAGTACGGCGGTAGCTGCTGCTGCTGCTGCTGCTGCAGCAGCAGCCGCGGGTGCTGCTGCTGCAAGCTGCTGCAGAGAGATTCCAAGTATTCGTCTACTTGAGAATAAGTCAAACGAGCGCTGCAGCAGCAACAACGAGAGAATGGGATGCACCGGCTTTAGCTGCTGCTGTTGCTGCTGCTGCTGCTGCTGCTGCATATAGTGCGCCCACAGCAAAGGAGCTGGCAGCAGCAGCACCAACTATGTAGACAGCAGCAGCAGCATCGGCGAATACAGCAGCAGCAGCATCAACATAGTAGCCTCAAAAGGCTAGTGAACAATTGCTGCGGGCCGCTGCAGCGGGAAAAGCGGCAGCCGCAGCAGCAGCAGCAGCAGCAGCAGCAGCAGCAGCATCTCCCCCGGCAGCAACCCGTTGCCGCAGCAAGAGCAACGACAAGGCAACAGGAACAAACACAACAGTTCCCGCAGCAGGAACAGCAGCAACAGCAAGAGCGGCAGCATCAGCAACAGCAGCACTTCTAGTGTCACCAGAAACTGCAGCAGCAGCCACTGCAGCAGCAACAGCAGCAGCAGCTGCATCAATAACAGCAGCAAAGACAGCGACCCCAGAAGCAGCAGCATTAGAAGCACTAGCAGCAGCTGCAGCCCCTAAAGAAGCTGCAGCAGCTGCTGCAGCAGCACCAACCCCAAAACAGGCAGCAACAGCAGCAGCAGCAACAGCAGCAGCACGAGCAGCAGCAGCAGCAACAGCGTACGCAGACTGAATAATGGTGGGGGCCTCTCCCGCGCTGCAGAGGCCGCCATCAGCAGCAACTCGACAAAAGACAGAACGAGCCAATCGATTTGCTGCTGGCAGCAAAGAGCAGACCCCTTCGCTCAGTTCCCTGGGCAGCATGGGGTACACCCTGCAGCAGCAGCAGCAGCAGCAGAAGATGCAGCAGGAGTAGCTGCAGCAGCAGAAGTGGGAGCAGCAGCAGCAGCAGCCGTGAAGTAGGAGCAGCAGCAACGGCAGCAGTAGAAGTAGGCGCAGCAGCAGTAGGAGTGGAAGCAGGAGCTACGGCAGCGGCAACAGAAGTAGGAGCAGCAACAGCAGCAGTAGCAGCAGCAGCAGCAGCAACACCAGCAGCAGCAGCAGCAGCAGCAGCAGCAGCAGCCCCACTTGGTGTCAAGGTAAACAGAAGTGGCCCTTCGCCGCGCCTCTGCATCTAATAAAGAGCCCCGCGGGACAAAATAAGAAACGTCAGCCACGTGCACGCCTATTTCGTGCTCCATCCCTGCTGCTGCTGCTGCTGCTGCTGCTGCTGCTGCTGCTGCTGCTGCTGGGGTTGCGTCCGCCTCTCTGCAGTCCGCAGCAGCAGCAGCAGCAGCAGCAGCGAGAGCAGCAGCAGATGGGAGCCTCCGAATGCTGATGGCGTCATCCAGGTCCTTCGCCGTGGGCGGGTCAACACTGAAGATGCGCAGAGGCAACTGCCTTGCTGCTGCTGCTGCTGCTGCTGCTGCTGCTGCTGCTGCTGCTGCTGCTTCAGCGGCAGGCCTGGGGGAGGGAAGCAGCGGAAAAAAACTGAGCCGCACTGGCTGCAACGAAGTCTGCTGCTGCTGCTGCTGCTGCTGCTGCTGCTGCTGCTGCTGCTGCCACTGCTGCTGCTGCTGCTGCTGCTGCTGCTGCTGCTGCCTGCAGTCAATGCGGCAGCTGCTGTCGAGGGCTTGCTGCAGCCACAAGGGATTTCCTGTTGTGGGGCAGATCTTATTTAGCTGCTGCTGCAGCTCCGCATACACCTGAGAGGGGAAGTCCCTAAACTCCAGGCCTGCGAGCTGCAGCGCAGCATCTGCTTCTGCTGCTGCGTCTCCCTTGACTCCCACCACCGTCACTGCTGCTGCTGCTGCTGTTGCTGCTGCTGCTGTTGCTGCTGCTGCTGTTGCTGCTGCTGCTGGGAACTTGCTCAGCACGGGCCACTCCCCGCGCTGCAGCAGCACCAGCAGCGCCTGCGACTCCTTAGCCAGCGACATCAAATACTCTGCTGCAGCTGTCAACCCGTCCTGCCTCTGCTGCTGCTGCTGCTGCTGCTGCTGCTGCTGCTGCTGCTGCTCTCGGTGCTGCTGCAGGGCGCGAAGCAGCGAGAGCAGAGGCAGCCGAAATGGAGGCAGCCGGCTGTCTCTGCAGCAGCAGCAGCACAAACGCAGCAGCAGGCCCCATGAAGCACACAGAAACAATCTAAAGAATTAAGCAATGCTGCTGTTGCTGCTGCTTTCTCTGCTGCTGCTGCTGCTGCTGCTGCTGTTGCTGCTGCTGCCAACAACAAAACCTACGGCGCTTTAAGACGCACCTTGGCTGCGCCTTCACAGTGGGCCACTCTCCCGTGGGGGCTGAAGCTTCTGCCGGCTGCTGCTGCTGCTGCTGCTGCTGCTGCTGCTGCTGCTGCTTCAAGAAGCGGCGAATTGCTGCAATGTGCTGGTGAGGCTGCACTATTGTGAGTATTTCTCGCGTTTCTTCTCCTCTCTTTTCAATGAACACAACGCGGCATGTGGGCTGCTGCAGCAAAGAGGCCTCCGCAGCCCCTTGCTGCTGCTGCTGCTGCTGCTGCTGCTGCTGCTGCTGCTGCTGCTGCTGCTGTTGCTGCTGCTGGGTGCTGCA